TTTCCCCACTATGACTACCGAACAAAAGCTAAATGTTTATTAAAAGCTTATTTAGTGTTTGGGGAAGACAATTTGAGAATTTTTTACTATAATAACACACAAAGTTGTCAATTTTTTTCTTTTCTTTTTTGAAATGGGATTTAAATATGAAACAATAGTTAGGCAAACATTTCAGTAACTACCGTATATAATAGTATCTAATTTTAAACTGGTTCAATTAAGCACATTAATTCAAGTGTGTAGAGTCCACCCAAATAAGTCAATGTTGTACAGTTTAGAATATCTTGGTTATTTTTTGTCATTTTCTGAATTAATCATAGACTTTGATATTCCGAACAGCTACTGAAATATATACTCTCTTACCGAAATGTACAATCCCAATTAACTTAATTTTCTAAAAGGATAAATGGCATTTTAGAACCTGACATTATTGGTTGAAAATCATTAAGTAATTAAATAATTGCGTACGTAATCTTTTTCCCCATAAAAATAAATCAATCTATTTTCGGCTTTTTTTTTTGTCTTATACTTAGGTCACGTTTGGTTTGATGGAATCTATTAGAATTGGTGGGAATTTGAATTCAATTTTACCACTTTCTCATGTTTGGTTTAAGTTTTTCAAGGGAATTGAAATCCCTGATGGAATTTAATTCCATCAAATGAGGGAAAGTGAATTCCATCAAAAAATGGATGGAATTTAATTTCCTTGTTGGAGAGAATTGAAATTTGACCATATTACCCTCATCAATCGTTTGGTAACTTATTCATATATTGAATAAAAATATTTTTTTTTTATTTCGGGTCGGGTCGGGTTTCTAATTCATATATTCGGGTCGGGTCGGGTCGGGTCGGGTGAAACTTTATTTTGGTCGGGTCGGATCGGGTTTTTTTAAGTATGATATTCGGATCAGGTCGGGTCGGGTTCGGGTTTAGGGTGAAAAAAACCAAACCGACCCGAAAATAAATATAATTCAGGTCAGGTCGGATTAAGTCACTGTTTTTATTAAATAAAAATATTTTTTTATTATTTCGAGTCAGGTCGGGTTGGATTTCTAATTCATATATTCGGGTCGGGTCGGATGAAACTTTATTTTGTTCAGGTCGGGTTGGGTTTTTTAAGTGTGATATTCGGGTCGAGTCGGGTTGGATTTTTTTAAGTGTGATATTCGGATCGGGTTCGGGTTTATGGTGAAAAAACCGAACCGACCCGAAAATATATATAATTCGGGTCGGGTCGGATTAAGTCACTATTTTTATTAAATAAAAATATTTTTTTTTCTTGTCTGGTCGGGTCGAATGAAACTTTATTTTATTAGAGTCGGGTTTTTTAAGTGTGATATTTGGGTCGAGTCGGGTTTTTTAAGTGTGATATTCGGATCAGGTCGAGTTCGGGTTTAGGGTAAAAAAACGGACCGACCCGAAAAAAATATATAATTTTACCTTATATATTTAGGAATAATTACAATAATACCCCTCTATATATAATTTTTTTCAATTAAGTCAATATTTTTATTTAATAAAAATAATTTTTTATTATTTTGAGTCGTGTCGGGTCGAGTTTCTAATTCATATATTGAATAAAAATAGTTTTTGGTATATTTTTTGGTAACTAATTAATATACTCTGATTGGAATGTATCGAAATATTGCTATATCTTTTGGTAACTTATTAACATATTTTGATTGCGATGATTTTAACTTATAATGTTTATTAGTATTATTTTTATAATTTATTGAAATGAATAATCAATTAATAAAAAAAATTAATATTTTTAAATTTTTTATAATATATTATTACATGTAAGTTGTAAAATAAACTAAAATAAAACAAAAAAATAAGAAGGGTAATTTTGTCATTTTACATTACTGAAATTAAATTCATTTAACATGTCTGCGAACCAAACGAAATATAAAATTGAATTTTAATTCCATTTGCTGCCAACCAAACAGAATATGGAATTGGATTCTAATTTCTACAGATTCTAATTCTTTCACAGATTTCAATTCTCTCATAAACATTCTAACGAACCAAACGCCACCTTAATCTCTCGTCGTTTTATATTAACTACCGATAAAAAAAACTTTAAATTCAGTGATATTCAGGACGGGAAGAAACGACAAAAGACATGTTAGTTTATTAATCGGAAGAGTAAACGCGTAATCTACTTTTTCATGTTGATTTATTTTGACTTTAGAAAAAGATGGAAAAAAAACTAATGAAGACTTTCCTTTGTCCTTTTTCCTTCTTTTGAAGGGGCTGTCTGTTTTCCATTTTCTTTTCCTATCTTTATATATGACTTTAAAGATCACTATTTTCTTATTAAATGAGGTGATTTTCATTTATATTTTCTAATTAATAATTTATACATACTTTATAGATATAGTTATTCGAACCTAAAATCTCAAAAAAAAAATACTCTTTATAACTACTGAGACTATTTAATAAATTCTTAAAAATCAATATCTGATATAAAATTATAAGCATAATTATTTTATACATTCTCGTTAGATTAAAAATATTACATATAAATTTAGAATTTGTGTGTGTTCTTTTTTTTTTTGAGATATTTGGCTTGGATAGGATGGGACCTCTATCCACAACTTATTGTAATGTAATATGGTGTTTGCATTCGGAAAAAAACCCATAGAAGACAGACCGACAATTAATATTATTAGGACTATAGTGGGGTGGGATATATTTTTCGTACAATAATTCTTAGCATACAATGAAGAAAAAAAAAACTCTATTGGTTAAAAATCGATAAACTAATATTTTTCATTATAGTTAGAATTAGAATAAGCTTAACTACTCTGATTTTTTTTTACTTTGATCTCTAGATTAGTTTTATAAAATTTAATCGATAATATTATATTTTTATTTTATCATTTATTATTTATTTTAATTATTAATTTAACAAAAATGCTGACATGAATGATAATAATTTTAATCTCAAAATTTATATATTTTATCAATTATATTATTTAAAATAGTTTTATAAATTTAATCTTTAATATTTAAAAGTTAATTATGATTTCTTTAACTCAAATCCTATCAATTTTGTCGTCACCTCTAGGCTCTAGCTATCGTATGATTTTTTTCCGGCACCTTCTCCGGTCAATGAGACCAACCGGGCGGCTTACTAGTGAACTAGAACTTTAAGTTTGCTGCATTTTTCAGGTCAAAGCGTTGGATTTCCAGTTCTGCCGACACACTTGCTTTTTATATACATATACATACTGGTTTTAGCTATATTATTTTCTTTTATTTAAGCAGATGTGGACATCTTTTGCTTTTTGTCGTTAAGATTGCAAAGAAAATCTGAATATTACTGCAGTCAAACATTGTTTGCTTATCCAGGTTCTATGTAGGTAGGACGGAGTTAATATTTAGAATATGATTAATCATAAAAATAAAGAATAAAATATAATTAATCATTAGAAATGAAAAATAATTTGAAAATTTAAAATTCGAATTTAAAATTTATCCATATAAATTTTTAATAACAAAGAAATAGGGACAGTGGCCCCTTGAGACGAGACATAGCTTCGGCCCTGGTTCTACAATTTAAGTTGCTATCCAGTTCGATATCAAGTTGTCTTGCTTGATGTATCAAATATATGATGGGTTAACTACGCGTTCTCCATAAGTAACAAGAAAATTAGCCAAAATATGAATCATATCATCCTATTACCCACCCAAATAACATGAAAATCTGATACCATGTTAAAGTAAAGTCTGTGAACTAAGATGAACAATCGAAGAAAAACATATGAAAATAAATAATTAAGGTTTATGATACAAATAATAGAAACTGACAGAACTAGATATACTTAATCAATTCAAAGCAGATATCCCATTACATTTGTGAGTTTAGAAAGCTCAAATTATAACTTCCTAACAATCTCAAAAGCCCAACTACTATCCATATGTGAACCCAATACATTCTCATATCCAAAAAATGTTGTTAAATGTAATCTAAGGAGAAATCTAATTTACACAGCAGAGGGAGAATCCGAGTTTCTGACAATTTTTTTACTTTCCCTAGGGATCAATATCACTATGCATAGGGAGATGTTTTAACAATATTAAGATTAGAGGTCAACTCTTTGCTATATATATATAATCTCTAATTTTGAGTGAGGTGAAGTCAATGAGCGAAGATACCTCTGAAATCTTGTGTAATATTATAAAACTGAAACCATGTCTCATTCAGAGGGAGCTTCCATGTGAGAAGAACATGAAGGAACGAGAAGGCAGAAACCATCACAACTCATTATACTATAATCCCCACCAGGCATTCAAATTCTATTTTTTGAGGGAAATTATATACAACTTTACATGTGAGAAGTCGGTGGACGGTGGCTTCTCGTGATAGATTTCAAGCACCAAGAGTCAATAGATATTAGATGGCCTAATTATGGTTTTAATCCTTCATGTTTAATTCTCCACTTTAATTTAATATAATTTGATCCTTTATTCTCATAATTTTATTTTCTTAAAGCTATAACTATTAACTATTATTGTTAAAATATTAACATTGATTTTTCTTAAAAGCACTATTATCAAATTTGATTAAAATGCGACATGTATTTTCTCAAAAAATATTATTTCAATAGATTTTTTTAATATGTTATTAAGAAAAATTCAAGTCAATGTTTGAATTAAAATAATTAATTATTTGGTCTAACATTATATAAGATGAAGGAATTAAATCATTAAAAAGTTTGAGCATACTAGTACAAATTAAATTGGCTTAATAGTTAAAAGAATAATTATTATCCTTAAAGATCTTAGGTTTGAGCACCAAAGACTAAAAAATAACAAGCAATTATGATTGAAGAATTAGCTTTAACTAGTAGATTAGCGGATATAAGGATGATTACAGTAAGGCTTTTAATTGAGTTAGAAAAAACATCAAACATAAAAATTCGAATATATTCCGTAAAAAGATAAAAAAATATATATATAATAACAACTTTTCAAATTTGCTGATAAAAATAGTCTTCCTGCATGAACATATGCGTACACTGCAACTATATACTATCAAGGTAAGTGGGGAAGTTACAGCTCCAAAGATTTTGAGTCATTTAGCTGATATGGCAATGTAAAATCAAGCTTTAACTTCTTTACTCGCTTCCCTATACTCTCCATAATCTTCTCCATCACTGTTCACCGCCTCTCTGAAATATTTGTAGTAAATATATTGCAATATGATCTGTTGTAAACAGTGTTAAGGTTCAATATTATCGGCAGTGTAAACAGGGAATAATAATCAATTGAACGATTCAATTATTCAGGTGAGAAAGGATACAAATAAGTCGAGTGCCACACAAACTACAGCATCCAGCAACCATGGCATGTTAGCCTTAATGCTTTCCCACTCGGAGGTTCTCACTAGAATACTGTGAAGAAGCTTAAAATGAGTCGAATGGTTGATGAGTTAAAGTGAAAATATCAAATGCAGAACACTGAGATAGAACAAACCTCGCCACGTAAGTAGCATTAGCTATCAGTGCAAAGATGAACATGAGAGGGTTCAAGCCCTGTATTATTTTCCAGACAGTTAGTGATTAATCAATCAACATCATTTAAAGCAACATAAATACATTTATGTTGAGACTTAAAAAATAGTATTACCTCCACACTTCCTCTTTTGATCTGATCAACAACAAAAAAGCAATGATGGTAATAAGGAATTGGGATTTTATTGTGTTCGGAAAGAAAAACTACGGTTTGTTAATTGAACTCGTTGCTTACATTTAACCATATCTGAGGGATTCGGCCTCCCATGTATATGGCAGCCATTAGCCATCCCAGCCATTGTCCGAATGCACTATGCTCCATTCTGAGCTCCTGCGACAAAGTCCAAATTATTCAAGAAATCTGCAGTTCAAATGGACCTAGAGGCATGTCTAGTTTGGATGGGGTCATGTATCGCATTAACTTCTCAAACATCGAACAACCCTTTAGGCTTAGATAGATAGCCCATTCTTCTACATATCTAAGTAGACCAATTGTTGTTGAATTAGAATCAACCTGGAAAATCATACCTGTAACAGTCTTCTATTGGTAAAACCAGTTTTGATTTCCATCCAAGCCTTACTTCCTAGTGGCAAGTTGACAGACGTAGCTAGAAATGTACCATAACTTGCAGCCTAAAAAAGCAATCATATCTATGTTATTCAATCAATCTTTCAAGAGTTCTCGTGTTTAAAATCATTTAGCAAATGCAAGAATCACCGCTCCCGGGATTGGTCGAGGTCGAGTTCCAGACTTCTTGGATGAAACCAGAGCTGATTCATCTTCAGATGATGAATCACTCCCAAGTGCCATGGCGGAAGGACCACTTTTAGCCACGCTCATATATGTTCGAAAAGGTGGAGTGCCACTGCCAGCAAGAGATCTAGCTGACCTGAAAGAGTGTAATAGTGTAGATGTCTCAATGGAATTAGCTCTTAATACAATAATTAATGAAATAAATGTACAATAACAACATGAAGAGTTAAGAATAGTACGTGTAATAGAACTCCCTTCGAGTATGGGCTCTCCCCCTAGCCTTAGGTATGGGAATTCCCGACTCATTTTTGCCAGGTTTCAATGGCTCTTTCTCATCTTCAACCTAACATTGCATTAAAACATATTCATGAAACCATGTCTCCGAAAAAAACCATTTTTTTCAACTGCACTCTGCAACAACAAAAAATGCCAAAGGTGTGTACCGTGTGGTTGGATTTCATCCGTCGACGTTTGCACCAACTGCTGATATACTCATAGTAAACACTTTGCAACACTAGAACCACAGTACTTATTGTATAGAGCTGACAAACAAAACCACAGTACCTAATTAAAAGTTTGGAAGACAAAACACTTGACCAAGTTTACTTATTACTAGATGTTGGTAGACAATATTGGGTTTGTTCAATATAGAAAATGGGCTGACTACTACTTAACCAAAGACATCCGTCGACGTTTGCACCAACTGCTGATATACTCATAGTAAACACTTTGCAACACTAGAACCACAGTACTTATTGTATAGAGCTGACAAACAAAACCACAGTACCTAATTAAAAGTTTGGAAGACAAAACACTTGACCAAGTTTACTTATTACTAGATGTTGGTAGACAATATTGGGTTTGTTCAATATAGAAAATGGGCTGACTACTACTTAACCAAAGAACCCATGATGTTGGGCCATTTTAATTTGTTGAAATTTGAAAATGATTATTCAAGAAGAGTCCTTTGATAAATAAAAAAAAGAGCCCTCATTTTGCAATTATAAAATAGATGAAGGGCTTAATATGAATTATGAAATGAAACATTTAAACCTAGAAAGTAGTCAGTAGTACCAGAGCTGTGTAGAACTGAGTCGGCAACTGCATCCACAAAATATACGAGAAATGAAAAGTAAGTGAGGTTTACATATAGTATACATTGGTATTATGTATATGAAGGGAAATCGAAAGATAACATATTTGTTGATAGAAAAACAAAGGGTGATATGATTTTAACCACAAATTTTCATTTCTGGTTTTTGGACCACCAAAGGCACTGTAAATCTATGGCTCTCGATGAATTGAATTCACCAAAAGTAAAGATAAAAAAGCTACTAACTGTTGCAGGTTCCAGAAGACACCCTACAAGATTGAACACGTCACTGCAACAAAGAAAACCAGAGGAGATTAATCGTAAAACAAAGCTTGAAAATGCAAGGAAATGAGTGAAAAAGAAATCGAACCCAGCAACCCAAGTGAGGAGAAAAAGGAGGGAAACGCCATGGCCGGACTTGGTTTTGAAGTTGGTGACGATTTGAGGTATCTCTGCAACTCCCCAGCATACTAAACTAATGATTCCGAAAGAAAAGGAGAAATCATCTTTCAGATTGCAAAGACAGTCTTTGAAGTATCTCTGAACCCACCAAACGCAGGGCTTGTTTTCTCTGACACAATAAGGTTGAGACATGCCTAACTTATGCTTATCTTCTCTCTTATTATTCTCAGACAAAATAATGGAAATTATGAAACAATGTACAAGTTAGTGAGTTTTGTGGAAAGAAGAGCTATTATTATATAGCAGAAAAGGATGTCCAAAAGCAGGTGATATTAGAAATAAGAAAAAATGATCCAATTCCTTAAAATAAAGATGATTAATGTTGAAAGCACTCGACCACTCTCGTCCGCATATTCTTTATTGTGGATGCTCTTCTTTTCAACTCGCACTGTAAAAATATATATATAAAGTTCAATTTCTTTAGCTGCATCAAACTTTATGATACCGCATATTCCACTATCCGTTGATCATGCAAGGAAAACCCTCGGTTCACGGTCTCTGTTTTTTAGTAATATTTTTAGATAATTATAACATATACTGACATGATTATTCAAATTTAATATCTTACAAGATAATACACTCCCTTTAACTATTGAATTCACTCAACGAATTCACTCAACGAATTCAATTTATGGTTTATGTAAGGTATATACAAGTTATTCCGGTTTAATTTAAAAATAGATATCATTGATAAAAAGATATGTTGTTATCCTTATATATATCAAATTCGAGCAGTTGCATTCATAAGGTATAAACATATTCATTATCATTTTGACACTACTTTATAATCATATCATATTAATAAAAATATTAAATTTAATTTAATAATAATTAACTTTAAACTATAATCAAACTGATTAGAATATCAGAACATCATGTTTGAATGATTCACGTTTAAATATCTATTAATCTCCAAAAAGACACCAACGCTCCAAGTAATTTATTAGGATATTCCTATGGTACGTACTTACATTCAATCTCAAGGAGTAATTAGTTTAAGGTACCCCAAGAAATGGAGGGACGTAGAACACTAAGTTAAGGCATTCATCACAGAATTAATCATATGCGTCCAAAACAATAATACAATATCATGTCCTTTGTAAAATGAAACAATGTGGCATGCAAAACAATTCATATTTTTACACACACATGCCCGTACGTTCAATTCCTTGGATTCGATCTCTTTTTTAAAATTCGCACACTGAATTGTACGTAAGCTGTGGTTGTTTAATATAAAAACCTTTTTTCTCCCCCCTACAGGCACAGTCCCCTGCACCAAATCCATTATTCCGGCTACATTCAAATAATGTTGTAAAATAGACAATATAATAATTATGGATGGGTTTTATTCATCCAATAACTTGAACACAGCCCTAGAATCATCCAGGTTCATTTTGTATAAAACAAAATTTTAAGGAAACAAAACAATATTGTTTCAGTTGGGTGAGTGATCCAGGACAGGTTTAATCATGGCGTAGGGGCAAAAATGTTAATAATGGAAGCTGAGTTGCCCTTCTGAAAGAAACAAAGATGAGATGCCATGTAAGCTTTTAACTAGAAATGTCGTGCTGATCTTTTTATAATAGGTAGAAAGCAAAACGAAAACCAAAATATCTCGAATCCTTGAACAAAGAGAAAAAGACAGAAACGGCGACGGTCCGCTGCAACTTGTGAGAACGATGTGTCTAACGCGTGGCATGATTTCGTTCTTTGATGTGCCAGAGTCGTGACTCAGGAGTCAGGATCATGTTTATCCTGCTGTTGCTTAGATAAGACTTGATTTTATCTTCATTCCATCGAAACCTTTTAAATTTAGGGGTATACAATTTTAATATATAGTTAAAAAAATATATTATTATAAACATTAATTTAATATTATTTTAATATTAAGTGATACCTAAAATATTTAATATTTTCGGTAAAATTCTACTTAAAATATTATTTTTTCTTTAAAAAATGTTAATATTTGGTTCTACAAAAAATTAGTTAGCGAAATTAATATTTTCGGTAAAAAAAATAATGTTTTAAGTAGTGTTTTACTAAAAGTGTTAAAAAATTAATATTTATAGTAAAGAATTTCCTTAATCGTATATTAAAATTAGCGTACAGCAAAACTACCTTTGAAACTCCACTTTCTTTTTGATTGAAATATCATTCTAATAAATATTATTTTTGAGATTAATATTTGTTTTAAATTAATTTTCAAATTAAAAAAATTTATATGGAACAAAAGTATATTATGTTAGACGTGTCTTTAAAAATATATCATGCAAGTTGTGTCTTCAAAAGTGGTGGCGGATACATATAAGAGTCTAGTTACAAGCTGGGTCAAAATGAAAAGAAGAAAAAAACTGCAGTAAATCCTTAAAAATTTTATTTTTAAAAAATAAATGTGCATGATACATATCAAAGATAAATATTTACACGAATATGAGTTAGACAATAACAATGTCACATATTAATTTTATGAATTTATTTTTAATAACTCAATGAATGTATTTTTAAAATGATATATTTAAACACTTGAAAATCTCATATCTAAACAATATTAAATTTGAGAAATTCATAACAAAAAATAGTGATATTAAAGTTGTTAATGACTATCATATACTTGATTAAATTTAAGAATTAGGCCCAATAGATTTGAAGGTCTTGTGCTATATTTTAAAATGAGACCTCTAAAATCTTTTATAATAAGACAAAATTATAAAATATCAAAATTTATCATAGTACAATTGTTTCTTATAAAATAAAATAAAAATTCAAACATATGAAACTAAAAAAATATCATAAAACAACTCTATAATCGTGACATTTTATTTAAAAAGTCATAATTTGAATGTCCTTAGAAGCGAAATTAAGATATTTTCTAAAGTATGAGCCTCCAAAATTTTGAGACCATATGGCGTATCACACTTTACACTTATTGAATGACAGGCCTATTAATTATTAAATTGTCAAGTATTATTTTTTGAAATAATCAAAATTTAGTAAAAATAATTTTTAATTATGATATTGATACAAATTTAATTGAATTCGAAATTTTAATAAAGAAATTATTTTTAATGTTACCTAAAATAATGGTGTAAGGTATATTAGTGACAGTGTCACGTAAAATAATGATTTGAATGCTCCGATAGGAGGGATAATCGTTCTAGATCAAACGACCTCTATGACCTACTTGGTTGTTTTAGTTTTTTTGTTCTTGGAGTTATCATTATCTCTAGAGTTTCGTCGGTACTTGAGACTTCCTCTTCTTTTATCTATTTGATTTTTCTACTTGTGGATTTCTTAGTGGGTTGATGCTTTTTGTTGGGCTTTAGTAGACTCCGATCCCATAAACATCTACTACTAGTACTTTATTTTTTTATGTATTTTTTTAAATAAATGAATATATCATGTCCGTAAAAAATAAAATAAAATTAGTGTCCAACACATAGAGACCTTACTAGTTTTAAGTGTCAGTCCTTTCTATTCCTTCTCTCGCTTTGACCTTGGAAGCAGGTCTAAGGGTACAAGGACGGCCCAAGTAAGGTAGGATTGGGCTGTGGTGTCTTTTACCCTTTTTATTTAAAGGTTACGATTGTTTCATTTAATAATGCTTTTTTATAGTTTTGGTGGCAGCTTTTCTGTCTTTTTGAAATGCAATGCGCTATTCATCTAAAAAGAAATAATGTCTTTTTTGTTTAAATATGTATTTTTCATATAATATATCTTATCGTTATATTTAATATTTTTAGTGTCATTTTCATTTTTTTTACAATTATAAGTTTTTCAATCCTGTTTGTGTTTCTTTGTATAAATAAGGTATTCACTTACAACTTTAAATATTAATATAAAAATTTCTAATTTATTTTACAAATTAAACTATCCACTTGAAGATGTTTGAAAGCCCTTTTACTTTTACAAGTCAAACTATCTTGTTTTGAGGCTTGAGATTTTGGGATCTCTTTGTACCAAATAAAACTTGGAAAGGAAAAAAACAAAAACCAAATCTATCTATATACATTTGATTTCAACTCTCCTTTGATATTAAAAACAATCTTAAGCTTTTCCCAGACGCAGGAGAAAATTGTTTGGCCGAGTCCATAGCTGAATTCTCTCTATGATTTTGAAACATGTTCGTGTGGGCCTCTCCTTGCTCCGTAGCTTCCATGGCGGCTTCAAAACTCTCATTTGACCCATCCAAACAGCTATTATCACAATGAAGATTCTCTTCTTTTGTTTGTTTGAAACAGATACTATCATTATGCATTTATTATCTAAAATTAACTCAACTTATCCATTCAATATTAAAAGTCAACTTTGTCTTTTCATTATTAAAGCTATCATCAGATGTAACTTGTCTAAATTCTAAAGACAAGCCAACCAATCATCCCTCTGCCACCCTGTTTTTAATATTCTTCAAATCTATTGTCTGCTTGGACTGTTCTTCAGTTTCAGCTCCATATAATTTGGCAATGCCAATGTATTCATTCACCCATAAAAAAAACATCATGGTACAGCCAATGGGTTCTTTCTCTTTGGTGTCTCTGTTTACCCTCTTCTTATGTTGTTGTAGCGTGATACAAGCTCAGCAGCCTTATGCTGGACTAAGGACAACAGACTGTACAAATCCACACACTTCAAATTCAGTCCTTGGATACACCTGCAATGGCTTAAACACCAGTTGCCGAGCTTATCTCGTTTTCAGATCCCAGCCTTCGTTTAACAACGTTACATCGATTGCCAATCTCTTGTCTTCGGACCCTTCTCAGATTGTCGACATAAACGAGGTTCCGAGGACGGCAACGTTCGAAACAAACCAGATGGTTATGGTTCCTATCAACTGCTCGTGCTCTGGTGACCACTATCAGGGGAACGCTACTTATACTATTCGGAGCGGAGACACCTATTTCTTTATTGCAAATAACACTTTCCAGGCCCTGTCAACTTGTCAAGCTATTCAGAACCAGCAGCCTGAAATACAACCTACTAAATTGGTAATCGGTTCGACGATCACGATTCCTGTTAGATGTGCTTGTCCCACCAGGAACCAAACTGATGTAGGAATTAACTATCTGTTGAGCTATCCAATTGCTCAAGGTGATACTGTTGCGGGTATCAGTGAGATCTTTGGGGCTGACACTGAGAGTACTGTTGAAGCTAATCAGCTTAGTGATTCTGTAATTTTTTTCTTCACTTCACTCTTGGTTTCCCTCCGGGACCCGCCATCTAAAATCACAGTGCCTCCGCCGCCGCCGCCGCCGCCACCACCGCCACCGCCCTTCTCACCTACAACTCCACCCCCTAGTGGTGGCTCTAGCAAAACATGGATTTATATACTTGTTGGTGTTCTTGGGGGAGCTGCTCTTCTATTTGTTGTTTGCATAGTTATATTCTTCGGTAATAGAAAGAAGAAACCTGGCTTGATTGTGGATGAATCTCGGGACTTCTTGGATTATATGTCGAATATAGCAAAATCTCTGAATCTCAAGGTGTATAAATTCGAAGAACTTCAGGTTGCAACAGATAGCTTCAGCCCCGACTATCAGATTAAAGGGTCATCAGTTTACCGTGGTGTAATCAAGGGTGATTTTGCTGCTATTAAGAAAGTTCATGGAGACGTGTCGAAGGAGATAGAGCTGTTGAACACGGTGAACCATTCGAATCTTATTCGCCTTTCGGGAGTTTGTTTTGATGACGGGCATTGGTATCTGGTCTACGAGTATGCTGCAAATGGAGCATTGAGCGACTGGATCTCCAACAACAACAGCCAAAGCGGGAAACACTTAACTTGGATACAGAGAATTCAGATTGCATTAGACATTGCCACGGGACTGAACTACCTCCATAGCTTAACAAATCATCCTCATGTCCACAAGGACTTAAAAACCAGTAATGTTCTTCTTGATGGTGATTTCAGGGCTAAGATTAAAAACTTTGCTCTAGCAAGGTCAACTGAAGGGAAAGAGGGTCAATTTGCCTTGACAAAGCACATTGTTGGGACAAAGGGTTACATGGCGCCGGAATACGTCGAAAATGGTATGGTCTCCAATAAGATTGATGTTTATGCATTCGGGGTTCTCTTGCTGGAAGTAATAAGTGGGACAGAGGCTGCTGCAATCTATGGTGAGGACCATATGAAGTTATCAGAGATGTTAAGAAATGTGGTTCAAGAGCAAGATGGACATGAGGGTTTGAAGCACTTGATTCACCCCTGTATGCTAGATAATTGTCCCTTGGAACTTGCCATACTTGTGGCCAATTTGATCAATAGTTGCTTAAAGAAAGATCCGAATGCTCGACCAGCCATGGACGAAATCGTGCAATTGCTGTCGAGGATTTTGACTGCTTCATCGGCATGGGATTCTTCATCGAGTAACATGTCCTCGTCACAAACATCTGGTGGGAGCTATTGATGGCACCATGACTGAAATGAAATGTTCGAACCCTAGTCGCGGACTGCTTCATCGGCATGGGATTCACAATCGAGTAGCATGTCCTCGTCGCAATCATTGTCCGATGGTGCCACTGAATTTAAGCATGGAGTTTGAACCCTAGTTTATATAAAATTTAAATAAATATGTACATTTGATATTTAACTAAAAAATTATCGATAAATATTGAATACGCTGATAACATATGTATATTTAATGAATATAAATCCACACTTTAGAGCTAATAATTCTGGAAATAATAATCATGAATCTCAAATATTAGGGTACAATGGATTAGTGATAATAATCATGTTCGTGTTCGTTTATTTTTTTAAGGTGTTTGTGTTCATTCGTTTAATATTCGTGAACATATTCGTTTAACGTTAGAGAACATGTTTGTTTAGTGTTCATGAACATATTCGTTTAACGATAGTTTAGTGCTCGTTTATATGTTCGTGAACATGTTTATTTAGCGTTCACGAATATGTTCATTTGCAAGCTAGAAACTAGTAAAACTACGCCACTAGTGCTTAAACTTATTTAGCTTCATATTTTAAACGCCAAATTTCACTGTGTTTAATGTACTCCATAAATTAACCAATATTTAAAAAGTAAAAAATAAAAAGTAAATGAGCTTGTAAACGAGCTTATAAATGAGATTGTTCGTGAACATAAACGAACGAGTTGATAAATAAATTTATAAATGAGTCTGTTTGTGAACATAAACGAACCGAATACACCTTTGTTTGTGTTCGTTCGTTTATTAAATGAACATAAATATTTATTTAATCCGACAATGTTGATGTTGTGAACAGGTACAGAGCTCCCTTAGGGCCCAAGGGGATCCCGACCCCTGTTAAATTTTATATATTCGATATAGTTTTGGTTTAATAGTATTTTGGTTTATGTAAAAATAAATATTTAAATTTAAAAAATATAAAAAATTATTAAATATTTAATCAAGTAGGGGTCGAACTAAAGAATGATAACTCTTTATTCTCAAATTGTTGGTCTAATTACAATTTAAGTCATTGTAAGTTTAAATATTAGACAAATTAGATGTTGTCTTTCGAGTTTTGAGGTTTTTTTTTTAATTTAGAGTGAATACAAGGAAATATCTATACAAATACTTTCAACTATTTGACAATTAACACTCATACCCCTACATACGTTATTTATATTTTTCTTAAACAGTTTAATATTTCGATCTCTGTCAATATTTAATTGTGAAGCTAATTATTGATCCTCACTGCTCGACGGGTTTCCATGTACTGGTGCACTCCATCCATATCGGATACGTCAACGATGTTGGATAATGAATGTCATTTGGGTATCCCGAGAAACTAATATGCTTGCAGACGGATTTGCTGGCATTTTTTCAAAAAAAATCATCTTTTTAATTTAATATTCTCAATCAGGCACGAGTCAGACTATATTTCTCGATCTAACACCCTTTGCAGTAAAGCGCACCCTTTGCACCGCGCTATACGCTGAGTTGGTGCCACGTGGGGTAAGGCGCGCCCCCTGAGGCGCGCCTTATGCTGACATGGATACATGTGTGAACGGGCGAGGGTAGGTTGGTAATTAAGGGTATGGCGCGGCGCAGGGGCCGCGCCTTACCTGTGATCTTGACACGCGTCAGAAAGGTGCGGGCCTTGCCCCGCGCTATACTCTTAATTACCAAATTACCCTCGTCCGTTCACACCCATCTCTCCCTATAAATACCCCAATTCTCAATCACTTTCATCACATCAAATCCTCTCAACTTTTCTCAAATACTCTTATATTCTATTATTAAGGTATATTTTATTATATTTAGTTTTTTTTAGTAATTTATTTAATTATTTTAATTGCTAAATATTTTATTTAATTAATTTTTTTTTGCAGACATAAAATGGAAAGCAGTCTATTTTGGTTGGATGAAAATCATATATCTCGACACTTTGCTGATACGGTAACATTTTAACGTTTTAATTTAATTAATTAATTTATTTAATGCATGATTATTAGTTTAAAAATTAATTTGTGTAATTATTTATTTCTTAGGAGAGAGACCGTATATTAGATCATTTTATTAGGAACTTTAAGTTAGTTATACCTACTCGTGTAATGTCGTATTTAGTAGAGTTTGGATTCGGTCACCTAGGTAGATATCAGGGTCACTGTAAGATAGAACAAGACCTTATTTCTGCCTTAGTAGAGCGGTTGAGGCCGGAGACCCACACATTTCATCTTCCGTGCACGATCACGCTTGATGATGTTTCTATGCACCTGGGGCTTCCGGTGGATGGAAGTGTGATATCAGGGATAACTTCCGGTTCTTGGACTACTTTGTGTCGGGTTAGTCTAGGACGTGTCCCAGAATATTTTAACGGTGGACGGATACCGTTAAATTGGTTAGATGCCAATTTTCGGGAGTTGAGCGAGGACGCGTCTGACGATGAAGTTAAACAGTATGCACGGTCATGCATACTGCAGCTGATAGGAGGGTTGCTGATGCCGGAAAAATCGTGCAACCAAGTTTATTGTATGTGGTTGCAACATCTTGGCGACTTTCATCTGGCCGGATCACTCAGTTGGGTCTCGGCAGTTTTGGCTTGCCTGTACAGGGAGATATGTCGAGCCATTGACTACAGGCATAATGCTATCGGCGGATGTCTCCTGCTGCTGCAGTCTTGGGCATGGTATCAATTGCCCTTTTTATGTCCCGTTGTTAAGTTAATCGATTGACAGAATCGACTAAGAGGGGGTGAATTGGCAATTAAAAATTTTGTGGAAGCTTTTGCAGAAAATTGAAAGAAATTGCACAGCGATTTAAAGTGGTTCAACTTTATCAACCAAAGTCTACGTCCACTACCTTAGCTATCCACACTAAGGATTTTCCAACAAATTCACTAATTTGTTCTTTCTTTTGAGGCCAAAGAGATAACCTTACAACTCCCTCAAGAATATACCCCAATTCTTAAGAACACTCTTTTCTCAAAGAGAAGATTACAAATTTGCAAACTTACAAGAAAAACCTCACAAGGCAAATATGTTTGCACAATTCTAGAACAAAGAAATAACACTCAAGAATAAATACGATTGAGCACAATAAGTGTTCTTGAAAGCAAAATGAATATTGAATGAAAAATAGGCTTGAAATGCTCAAACTTGAGGTTTGATGCTTTCTCTTTGATTCTCTCTTGATTCTAGTTGCTTGATGTTACTTGCTATTGATCAATGGCTTGTTTAAATACACCTTGAATCACTTCTGAACGTTGGGGATGATTAGTGGAGTCAATAGAGTCGTTTAAGTGTGAAAACAATTAATTAAAATAGTTGGGAGCGTCAGTGCATCGATGCATACCCATGGTGCATCGGTGCATCAGTGTAAAATTCAAATATTTTGACCGTTGGACCCTTAGTGCATCGGTGTACTAAGAGTGCATCGATGCATCAAGTGCATTCGATGATTTAAAATAGCCAGAGTGCATCGATGCATGGTTGGTGCATATGCATCGATACATCAAATGCATTCGATGTTTTCATAAAATCCTCAGTGCATCGGTGCATGGTATGTGCATCGATGCATCAAATGCATTCGATGTTCAATTTAATTTATGGTACATCGGTGCATCACTCTGAAAAATTGATTTTAGTCTTGATTTTAGTTCAAAATACTTTGTGAAAATTGTTTCAAAAATATATTAAGTATAAAACACAATTTTACACATTTAGTAAGGTTTGAAATTGATCTTAAAAGACTTGGAGTAATATTTTGATATTCGAGTAATTAAATCGAATATACTTTTAGAAAATCATTTGTAAAATCTTAAAATTCATTTAACTTAATTTGTTATATCGAAACATCAAAATGTTTTCAACACCCATTGTCAAGAACTCATTCGTATTTCCGCTACTCCTGAGGTAATTATAAAATTGATTTTGTATATTAATAATTTTATACAGTGAATAAGAAATTATTTTTCTTGAATAGGTGGTCTACTGATAGGAAAAATCATCAAGAGCTATCTGATGATTTAGAAAAAATTAGGGTGTTAATCGATCAGAAGGCTGGCACACAGGTATGAATTTTAATGTTTAAAAATCGATTTTAGATTATAGTTATAAAATTAGATTAATATTTTGATAATATATATATATATATATATATATATATATTTATTTTAGTTTGAATGGGTTCCATATTCTAATGATAATGTGAGGGCGGTGATCCCACCTGAGTTGAGGGGCCCATCAGATGTTTAGATGGCGATGGTCCCCTAGATCTGTTATGCGACCGTCGAGTGACACTCCACTGATCATGTGCTCCAGCAATTTGGTTGTTTTTAACCAATTCCGGAAGCACCTCGCAATATGGACGAGTTGTATAGCACAGATAGACGCGGCAAGACAGATACAGATTGGCTGGTGAGGCATCATGCGTGGGTCGTGTTTTGGGAGGATCGACATCGGCGCCTTCCCTATAGAGAGCCCATTTTACTTGACCTCTTGATGGTTACTGACGGTTGTTACGAGTGGTTCAACAGTAATGTCAAACCGTTTCTGCTTCCCGAGGATGCACGAGGGCAGACCTTTCCGCGACGTCGATAGAGACGTTCACCGACACATCACCATCATCCCCCGACACGTGGACGGAGAGCAGGTGCATCCGGTTCATCCTCAGCTGCACCAGCAAGACCTTCACAACAGCCACCATATTCAGCGACTTACATACCGCAACCATATATGATGCCGCCACCGCCTTTTCATTACCAGATGTCGTCGCCTTCACCTGCTTTTATGACCCCACCGCCGCCACCGTCACAAATGACCCCTCTTGGAGGCTATTATGGATCTAGGTTTGCAGATCTGACTTGGGGTTCATATGCTGGATATTTGGCGGGTTCAGCCTCATCACCCATGGTCGTAGCACAGACACCTCATGTACAGTTTTCACACTTAGCGATGTCTGGGTTTTATGAGTTTTCCCAGTTTTTGCAGGCCGGTGGGATAGTCA